AGGTACACCAACTATCCGAGCCGTTACAGAAAACTTTCTGAAAGAGGGCTGCAATGCCCTGGGATCACCATCGCTAGAACAGGCCTCATTTCGAAGTATTTTAACTAACCGTCCTCATCGGCCCATGGCCCAGAGACGACCTCTCAGGTGGTTCTGTAAGTTAGGAGTCTACCTAACCGATTCTCTTGCAGGCTGCCCTGACGAGGTGCTCCTGTGTGGACAGCCAACAATACTTCCTTGTTGAATGCGAACTGTCTCAAGGTCACGTGTCTTCGTAGGCGACTGTTCCCACTCGCTAACCTTAAACCACTTGACCGATATACATACTCGCACAAACACACACGTGCGCGCACAAGCGCGTGCTTAACTAGTCGCAGTTCCTAAAGAGCTACTTGAGCGCACAAGCCTGCGGCCACCCAGCAGGTGACCTCAATGCTCGACACCCCTCGAGCAATCCAACACACCACTCATGGAACACCTGAACTCGTTTCACAAGCACGTAAAAGCAACTGTCACATCTAACACAGCACAGGCAGACACTCTCAGGCGTGACTGGACGCAGTCGACACCAGCCGTGGCTTCGCCAGCGGCCACTGCTGTTCAAGGCAGCAACACCGGGTTCTGTACACAATAAAACCCTCATTCGGGTGGCTTCCACTTTTACACGCCCTTGTTGTTGTGTTCTTCTTTTGGGATTCAACAGGGCGTAATAAGACGGTGACATCTAGGCTCTTGGTAAAATTACAGCACTAGACACCAGGAGTTTACAGCGGCCAAACCAATATTGGAGGCCTTAATGTAGCGTTGAATGCCTGAGCAGAGGTTAAACTCACAGACTTAGATTATCTAAGTACAGAAAGTGCCTTATTTGCCAGTGACAGGATTGTCCAGAAACCTGATAAAGGCTATGGACTAAAATGTTTCCACAAAAGGCCAGAAAGAAATTATTAATTTTCAACAGACTGCTGTCTGTCTAAAAGATAATTCCCTACAGACCAAACCAAACAAATTTTGGTCCTTTTCGAATTAGAGCGGAACGGCTGGTATCCATCAGCAAAGGCACCGCACTTAGTATAAACTCAAAGGTTGAGCGAAATTAGTTGAAGTGCTACCCTGATGAAGTAATACAAAGTGTTTATTATAACATCAATAATTCACTCGTCCCGCATGAGTGACTATGGCATCAACTGTTTCTCGTAAATTTTCAGCAAACTTGCTGATTAGTGTCGTGGCAAAACAGGGTGAAGAAAAAGCTACACCTAGCCAAGCCCCGACGTGCTCATCTAAAGTTAGACCCGGGGACCAAGTAGACGAAGAGAAAGATTGCATACTGATTTCTTCCTGAGAGTATATTAAGGTGAAGCTGGGCATTTTCCTCAAGTGCTGTAGTTTAACCGCGCAAACAACAGGTGCCACATGTCTTGCCTCGGAAACGGAATTCTCTTCCTCAACAAGGCAAATAAAATCGAACGCTCTGGCAACCCTGCGAACATTTACAATATATTAAAACTAAGAAAGCAGTTGGAAGTCCGAGGCCGACTTTTGCTACCACTTCACCTTGAAAAAGTTGTCAGTTGAGTTAAGATGGGGTTCCTCTGTTGGCAGCCAAATCCAATGTCGGCTATTCCTCTGTTACAGAAAGAGATGCTGCTGCTGTTATAATTCCACAGCTCGGAACGCCAATAAAAGAACTCTTGGCAATTCCTGTTTTGTCCTTTGACAGTCAAGAATTTTTTTGTAAATTAGCGGCCAAAACAATAAGGACGCTATGAGTATTACTTTCCCTACTCCACTCCACCTTATCAATTGAAAATGAGGTAGCCAAAGGCCGGCTGCTTAAAAATGGGCAGCTAAAATTCCTGCTGGAGGAAAGAAAAGATCGGTTCCAACGGATTACCTGCTCTTAAGGTAGGCGCGTTATCACATAGGACGGGCGATGAAGATTGGGGGTGGGAGGGGGGGGGTAAAAGGCGTAAATGTATACGTAAATTACAAAGCCTACCTGAGATAGTGCACATATTTAACAGCTGAGACGTCGAGTTCGGGATGCATGGAGCACAATTGGTCACGCAATTGATCCAAATCAGTCGAGGACAAACAGAAAGAGGTAAAGGCTGAAGTGGAGGTTGAGGAGCCACCACCCCCAGCGCCGGTACTACCACCAGTGCCACCGCCGGCAGTTGAGGAGGGAGCATTACTGGTGGAAAGAGCAGCCAGCAGGAGGAGACGCAGTTTGTCCTCTGGCGTGAAAGCCTCCATTTTGAGTAGATCAGGAAGAGAGTGTTCCTAAAGAGGGAACAAGTAGTTCGAAATTAAAAGACGGTGGGGGGAGGGCAGTCGAAGTAGTTTTAACTGGAGCTGAGTAAAAGTTGTGGTTTAGAAGGACGATAGGAAGGGTAAGTGCGGCAGGATATCTCTCTGCAGAAAAAAACCTGTTCGAGCTTAGCAGTGGAAAATATAAATCCTTTCCCAAACCACCATACACGCCAGTGAGCAGGTAGTGTACATTGCAATTTGAGTGCTAAGCAAATTCTCACTCACTTGCTGTTGGATAAAATACAAAAACTGGGTCCCAAATTCTGCATAAAAATGCATTTAATGGGCTGACAATCTAACAACTTAATGAAACTGCAAAGCGTTCAAATGGTGGTACACGAAATAATATTTAGAAACAAACGAATTCTGAATGAAAAGACGGGAAGCAGACATTCGAATAACGCACGAATAAAGCCCACGCTCAGTAAAAAGAAGCAATGATATTCTAGGTCACTTCGCCTGATCATGGACTATACGTACTGAGTTCCTGTAGGTCTTTATATACTTAATCGTAATAAAAACGTTCCGTGCGACAAAAGGCCCAATGCAAAAGTCAAAGAATCCTTAGGCAAGCAGTATGAGTAAAAAGTCCTCTTATCCTATATTTACGTTATGCTACGTTCAGGAAACCATGACAGAAGCATCTAGGGTACAAAAGTGGTTTCGACGAAGTCCAAAGACAGGTCGAATTCACCTAAGAGCGTCAACATCTTTTAACTGTTCTATGAGGTCCACAGCCAAATGAACTCGAATCTAATAAATGGTAATTACAAGCTGCAGCAACCAAGAATGCTGAACGACTATCTTATCGCGAATGCAGAGTATTGGAGCACGAGACGATAACCAATAAGTCGCAAAAAGTCACCAGCAGTCACAGAACGAGAGGTTATCAATATATTCGAAGATTCTATTGAAGAGGGGACTTCAGAAAAAAAGGGTCGCTTACTTGCAAGGTCTGTTGGGACAGAAGCTTCTCCTCAACGTCATTTAGGAAGTCGAGTTGTCGGGCCTTGATTTCCCTAGCTAAACTGGTCGCAATATGCATATGCATGTCGAGGCAACGCTTCTGCTCCATCAACTGCGGCAGCGTGCTAGACAGGCAATAAAAATATGCGTCAGTGGAAAACACTACTTTTAAACTGTCAGCAGGCTAGATCAGTAAACTAACTTTATTGTGCTGGAGAGCGCAGAGGTTGTGTCGGTAAGAGGGAGAACCTCTTCGGCTGCATTTCCACTCACAGATTCTTTGAGAGCGCCCAACTTTTTCTCGCGATCCTGGAGCACGGCTAGTTCCTCCTGCAGTGCGCCAGCCACCTCAGAAAAGGGAGATGTCCTATGCTCACGCCACAATCGGTCAGAGCTAGTTGAGAAATCATAGCGCTTTGTCTTGGCTGTCGAGTTATCCACGTCCGAAGGTTTTTGTTGGGCAATGTCCACATGATTTAAGTGGATGCCCTGGAGAAACAACAAAACGGACAGTGTGTAGAAAAAGGGTCTATATTTAATGACCAATAACTGGAAAAACTATATGAGTGTGTCTATCGGAACTGTCAGAATGTTTTAAATTCTAAGGGGGGTTGAACCACCTCTTCACCCCTCCATGGCTGGTGGGGAGCCGTATTAGCATGTTATAAAAAGTGGATGGTAAGATCTAAGTTGGTTGTACGCTTGTAAATTAACAGTTTTAGCCTCCTCTAAAAGGGTTCGAGGACAGAAACTTATCGTAAGATGAATCTCAATTTCGCTTAGGCATCCACGGAAGCAGACATGTCGAGGCTGCCGTCACGTAAAGTTGAAGTGTTAATGAGTTCTTTTCAACATGTGAATAGAGCTGAAACACAATTATCAACAGATCGGACAAACTGTGACCTAAACTGAGAGTCATGAACAGGTTTACTTGAGAGGAAAACAAAGAGTGTTAATAGGGAAATGGCTGCCTTCATAGAACGGATAGCTTAAACTCTGAACAGATACATTTAAACCACTAATCTTTGTCCAAAAGCAGTCCGATCATTAGAAAACTGCAGTTAAGTCAATAAATATCAGGAGAGATAGTTATGAAGGCAATACAAATATTGATAAAGATAAATTTGCCAACAAGCTAAGTCTAGTGGTGAAATTACTATTGAAATGACATAGACGGAATCCTACCGATGCCAGAGGCGACCCCCCTACCAGTTACTCGGCCTCAGCCCACAGCAACAATAGTACCCGGTGGGCAGTAGCACGAGCACTTGTACGCTTTATTTAAAACTCCTAGAATAAGAAACAGGGAGTACTTAGGCCCAAAAGGTCCACGGAATGATTTTAATGACAGAGAAGGCAGATTAGGAGACGGGTCCGATATAGTACGCGGTGGATTCCTAGCGCCATGTGCAATATACTTTTGAACAAAAAGAGTGCAAACGACGAAAGGAGAAGGGGAGGTTTCAAGAATATGGCGCTTTATCCATGCTGACGGTTCCATCGCACACCGATCAAGGATATAATTGGGAGTAAACAGGAGAACAGCGCACTGAAGAGTCAACTCACCACCAGATCATGCACAAGGCTCTGATAAGTCCAGGCGTGATGCAGCGGAGTAGAGAGATCCAGACCGCGGTCCAGGACGACCAGTAGCGGTCGCTGGAAGGAGAAACGCGGACCAGCCGGCTGTGCACCCGTGTCCCTAGGCCCAGCAAAGGTG